ATGTCACTAGGTCGTCGTAATGGCGTGGTATTATCGAGCATAGCCATCAAATGACGTTTATCATGGGCAGTCCGGGCGTACTGTTTGCATCACTAGTCGCGGGACAGAGCTGGCGGCGGACAGGACGGTCCGTCGGCTCTCGGTCGTAATTTATGGGAGATTTATTGACGCAGAATATTTCAGACCAGGTAAACAATATCAGTAAAATTGTTGGGGCTTATATTTTTAGCGAACCTGAATACTCGTGGTTTTGTGGTTGCTGGTAGCAAGTATTTCACCCGACACAGATTGACGAAAATTTAATGACTCAAGATGATACATTTGATCTTTCTATCTGTCACATTCGAGTGGCTACAAGGTATATTGCAAGCTGACTATCTTAGATCAATAAGCCGGAGTCTAAATGAGGAGAGGGTTTGTTTGCCCGGCTCTTATGTCGGAATGTTGACTAACATGACTTAGACACAGAACTTCCTGAGAAATTCGTCCAGACCGGTAATGTAAGGTAAGGAGCACATCGTCTTTAGCAGAGCTATTCACGTTACCCACCGTGGTGATACCGCGGTTGTTGTTGGTTTCCCGCAGGATTATTTAGTGGGCAAAGGTAGGCAGGCTCAGAGGCATGAAACGGCGGATCCCAGCGGAAGTCAAGGATCCATCAGGAATGGTGGAGTGCTGGGTCACTGGTAAGTCATCCACAGGTGGTGCAGGAAGCCGTACGTCCCAGGAAGTCATCATACTTATCTGCATCTTGATCATCGGCATGAGCCAGGAGTTTCTGGTCACATCCGGTGATGGACAGCCTCTGGGGGACCGGGATAGTCCCCCCTCGGAGTTCGTGAGTCCTGGTAACGTAAGACCCACGGAACCAGATGAGTTCCAGGCAGATAGTTCCAGGACGTGGATACGTGAACTATGGTCCCAGGACGTGAACGGTAAGTTCCAGGACGTGGACCGGAGGGAGCGCGAGGCCTAGCGCTCTCTCAAAAGGGAAACCAGCCGGGTGTAATTCGCGAATTCGCATCATAAGTCTATTGGACGTGTTGTGGATCCGACTAAATTACAAAGGTGAATAATTATCTGCATGCAATACTGGACGGCCCTGTGGCTTGGCCACCGGTTAGCGGGAGCACACATGGATTCATAAGAGAGACATTTATCTCGCCGGGGAGGTTATTGCTGCCAGACACCTAACACTATCGGAGGGATTTCGAGGGGCACTAAATAAATTTTGGTGAATAAATGAAGAGCGCTTGTATGTGAGAATGTGAGTGCGTATGATAAAAGAATGAATCTTAGATTAAGGCCGATAGGAGTTAAGTGCAGCTCGGTTAGGACAGTCACGACAATGATTCTCGAGGGCACTTAAATTCAGCTACGCTAATACGATATAAGTGGGCAAATTTGAAAAGGGTAGAGTAGACCAGTGATGATGAATTGGTGACTGGACTAATGACCATCCAGTAAAGCAAGTTAAACGCCAACAAATGGCTTGGCAGTGATCATTACGACCCCAACTGCCTTATCCAGCCCGTCTCTCACTGTGTCGATTACCCACGGGTTGGAGCCTGTCCATCCTGCCCGAGCAGTGAAGTTACTGAGTCGACGTCTATACAATGTGACGATGATCAAGCCTCAAAATGAAAGCATCTCCCATCAGATGCATTTGTATGCCGGGTGGGCTTCCAGAAATCAACTTTACTTACGCACACACTTCCAGTCTCCAACAGCACAATTCCAGCGCTTCACATTGGCACCGAACTACCCACTGGAACAGAGCTCCAAGAAAGAGCCCCCCGGAAAACAACTCCGCCCCCACTCCACCGCACCCCTGTTCAGTCCCCCGCGCTACAGGAGGGATGGGGTGGGAGACGAGCAAATCTGTGTGTGGAGACAGAGAATGGAAACGGAGAGATAGGATAGAGTACAGAAACGGGGAGTTGGGGCGAAGACACTGGGGAACATAGGGGAAAGACTGAAAATGTGACTTGCTATGGGGAAACGCTGGTCGCTTAGGGATGTAAATGAAATGTGATGGGAAAACGAGACTAGGGAGCAGGGAGCGAAGAAACATGGAGGAAAGTGAGCGGACGTCCGGGACGGGGAAGGTGTGTGGGTGGGTGGGGTGGGGGGGGGGGGAGGGGTGTCCAATGTTTCCATAAAGGTAAAGAGAGGCTTAGTTGGGAGATTGATCCCAGCTTCGGAGAAGGGGGAGCTCTGGTCTCTGACCTCCCTGAAACCGGCCCTGACCGCACACACAACCGACTTTATAGTCGTATGTTCGCCTGCGGGGTGCCTGGTGCTTACATTTGCATGCATTGTGTGTGGATGCATCGGGGTGGGTGCTAATGCGCTTACATCTACACACGACCACTTTTGCCGTCTCATCGTCCTGGCCGACAGCAGCCGGTATAGTACACCGCGGCTGATTGATTATTCTGACCAGCCCAGACGCTGTTTGTTTTGCTAGTTAAGTCAGCCCATTCGGCCTTGACGGACGCTTCTTTAGGCAACAAAGACGGAACGGCAGTACGGAACCACAAACAGCAAACATAGCACGACACGGAGGCGTGGCGCTCAACGCCCGCTGTTCAACATCGCCGGCGTTTTACCAGGGGCGGGACAGCCGGCGCCTGGGGTGGTCCGACGGAGGAGTCTGTTAGAACAATGCCCGCCGGGCCGGAGGAGCTCATTTGCTCCTCCAATGAGGCGGCACGGGCCGGCCGGTGGCGCGTGGCGCATTGTGTCAGCAGCACTGAGGCGCCGGCGTGCGACTCATTACTGGGTGGACAATGCGGCCGCCCGGGGAGAGCGTATCGCCTCTGTGCCGGTCGACTGGGCGGACACTGCGCCTGTGACGGGGGGAGTGTCGAGGACCGCCCCGGGCCGGCCGACAGCTCAGCGGAGGTCAGAGGGTGGGTCTGATGATGACTCAACGTATTCGTGTAACACACATCTTCACTGAAGTCCGTAAACCACCGATACCTTACTCACACATCCAAGCACAAGCAGTGGTGTCTCTAAAAATTATTGAGTATGTCCTCGGGAGCATATTTTCTCTCAGTTTGCGATATGTGTTTGCATAGGCTCCTAATGTTCCCTGCTCTTCTACTGAGTTATCCGTCTCGTTGAGGGTAGATGCAGATGTCCCTCCGCGGTCCAGCCCGGCGCGGTGGTCGGTCCGCGCCCACGGGCTGTCCCATCACCTGCAGTCCGTATACAGCGTCCCATCGATCCCAGCTGGGTTCAGCTCAGGGGCTCGGCTGGGGCGGTGCCGATTTGGAGGGCGGCCAGCGGGTGGCCGGTCGCCGCTGCAGCTCCGACCTCGACTGGACATCGGTGCGGCCCCGTGACCTTGCCCACGTGCTACCGGAGCGGCTCCGCTCGACCAGGGCGCGGCTTCAATGGCACGCCGCCGACGCATGGTCCGCGGCCGTCCGTCCCCATTTACATGCGGTGCCGGCGGGCCGAGAGCGGCCCTCTCCGGCCGCGAGATCGACCAGAATGGCGGCCGGCAGATGGACGATATGGCCGGGATGGAATGAGGAAATAATGACACACTACGCGAGCTTCAAATGTCGACCGGGTCCCATCTCTCCGCAGTGTTTGACATTTTGGACCAATTACTGTTCGGTAGACGCATACGTCAAAAAGGTGCTTGTCTCGGCCTTTGCTGCTTCGCCATCAGACTTTGATGCCGTGTACGTACCTAAATGACTTTTCGTTGTTTGTCGTTCTGCCAGCCCAGCTCAAATCAGTATGCATATGCTTGGCGAAAGGTGAATGGAGTAGTGACAGTAGTTACTTCGATTGATTATGAAGGCGACATTTAACTTCAGGAAGGGTGAATCATCATGATGCAGGGAGCCCTTGCTTTCTTATTCCAGAGCAGTTAGGCTCGTAGATATACAAAAAAAGCCTGCCTGTTAATCGGCGAAATGGTTGCCAGCAATTAGTAATGACTTCAAAATCGATATTTCTGACGATATATGAAACTTCTACCAAAGTCAGGAAAACATCCTCATGCTCAAAAATGTTACCAGAACAGCGTAAAAGGCTAAAAGCACTTGCGATTACTGTCATTGCATGTGCAGTGTGCAGTGTGCATGGCGCATGCCTTTGCCGATAACGGTACATACCTACGTAAATAGTAAACACGCGGTTTATATTCGAACGATTCTGAAGATTGACGGACGGACCTGCGGCGCAGATCGCTCGGGTGCATCGAGTCCCCACGTGTCGCCGCCCCATCACTGCAGGGTGACAGCGTGTGTCCTGCCCGGCACGCTCACGTGACACTGACGTGACGTGTCGGACCGTGCCGTGACGTGTCAGACCGTGACGTGACGCGACAGGACATTGTTTATGGTCTCAGCTATGCGATCACCGTCATTAGTGCAGCAGAGAAGGCGAATGACGCAAACTCCAGATTTCCGTAAATTACGTAAGACGTCTTTTGTTCCGAGTTCGTTCATGTCAGTTCCTGGCTCGATCTGGAATCTGCGGTGACCGACCTTACGTCATCTGCCGCCCTAAAGTTTATTATACCCGAGTGTAAAATTGTATTTTAACTGTGGGTAATTCTCCAATATCGGCCGGAATTCAGTGCATTCTGACTAATAAAACGAGACATATGTATCATCATTAGGCACACAGCCACAAGCAGCAATACTGTAGTGACAAGTGACATTAATCAACGGATAAGTGCTGAGCTGCGCAGCAATTAGTCGGCCGCGCTGCTCGCTCCACTCCAACTTTCACGTTGTTTGACGTCACACAGGTCACAGACCGAACGCCGACCGTACCAGCCCCGCGTGAGTCGTGATCTGGCCCACCGAGTCAGTCTTGCCCCCCCCCCCTCCAGTCAGTACAAAGAACCTCACCCGTGCGGGCATTTCCTCCGGAGTTTTATCTCTCCGTGCTGACCGCGCTGGGTGCCGGGAAGTGGCACGTACCCCTGTGATTGTGTCTGACCGCGCCGCCGCTCCGATCTGTTCCAGGACAGGGCACCGTGTACCGGAAGGTGATGGTCGGCGCGGGCAATGTGCTCCGTCTGATGGGTGTGTTCCGCGACCTGAACACACCGCCCAGCGGCACACCGGCCCTCAACTACGCCCAGTGCGTCAACTACAAAAATGAGGTGAGCGAGCGGGAAGCAATGGCAGAGATCGAGCCCAAAAGTGACTATGTTCGGTTGAAATATTAAAATATCGGACATTTTCCCACCGATTGGAAGACAACTAATAGGTACTAAAGAGCAGAACAGCCCAGCATAATCGCTTATTTATAAGTTAGAGCCTGATCGTAAAAAACATTTTCGCTTTGTAAAACATCGGGCCTGATTGTTTATTGATTTCTAAGTAGGTATCGAGTTCAATGCTGACCACTGACACCGGACGCTCTGGTCGTCAACAGGTGTTGTTCCTGCCGTTCACGGCCGAGGGCCGTTTCTACGCGGCAGCGACGCGACCGACCTCCTCCCGCGACCACGTGTTCCTCATGTCGCAGCTGATGAGGCAGCAGAGGACGCCCATGACACTCAAACTCGTCTGCGGATTCATGCCGCGGATGCCCTGCAACTTCACCGGTACGTAAATGTGCGGTCGGTTTTAGATTTGTTGTGCTGGTTTTAACCGGTAAATGCAATTGAAATGTAAAATGCACGTAAAACGTAAACCTAATAGTCACTCTGTCAGCTTACTGCTTAGGATAAGCATTTCACGATAAATGTTAGCATACGATAAATTTAGTTTTCTTCAAACCTTTTGGACTATTTTTCTATATCAAAACTGGCTCACTTTCAGTGTTATCTGTCTATTCAGCACCCTGCAAATGGGGTCTCCTTCACACCGTGCTGCCACCTATGCCGTGACCTCGTCCAGTCGGTAGGCCCCGCCCAGAGCGCCCAGTGTCCATCTCGTTATATGCCCAGTGCTTGCCGTCCACTGCCCTGCCGCCCTAACCCGCCGTTTTCTGTGCCGCAGGTCTGCTCCGTCTGGAGGAGGTGCGCCCCGAGCGCCTGGTGCTCGGCTGCACCACCGAGTCTGACGGACCGGGCACCCTGTTTGAGCTGGACGCCGAGTCGGCTCTCCGCGTGCAGCCCATCGACCAGCTGGACCGGCGCTCGTCGCCCGCCTTCACCAGGGCGCTGGTGATGTGCGAGCGGCACGGCGAGCTGTGGCGGCACCAGATGAAGGTCTCACACGACGTGTTCGACTCGGCGCACTCGTCGTTTGACTCGCTGGAAGCGCCGCCGGCCGGCCGACTGAGGAAAACTCCCAGTCTGAGCGAGCGGTTCGGTAGGACGGTGGTGGCGCCCGCCGTGCCGGTGCCGCTCTCACCCCGGCTCGGAAAACCTCCCACGCCGCAGTCCGAGACCAAGAAGAAGCTGACCAAGTCTCCCAGTCTGGACGGCGAGCGGCGGCCGGGCCGCAGTCTGCGCCAGACCGTCTCGCGGTTCTTCCTGAACCGCAGCCGCGGCTCGGGCAACCGGGACGTGACCACGTCGTTCGTGTTCTCGCGGCCGGCGGACGTGCAGTACGGCCGTGTGGCGGACGACATCACGCCCCCGCCGCCGGCCACGCCGACCGCCGAGAACCTGTACGCCGAAATCTGCGAGAAGGACGAGCGGGGCCGCGTGGTGCACCTGCGCTCGGCGGCCACAGCCGTCGGCGGTCCGCCGGGCGACTACACCCTCCGGCTGGGCAGCGACGGCCAGTCGTCGAGCCCCTCCTCCCCGGGACACACGATGGAGCACTCGACGTGTTGAGCTAGACAGATCGGGCTGTCGTTCTCCCGCCCTCCCCAGGAGCGCCCCTCTGGAGTGCACCGCCAGCGCGGCGGCCGAGGGGTCCGGTCCTGACCAGGTGTGATCGGAGCGAGTCTTTGAGTCGGAGTGAGTCCCATTGAGCTGGTGCCGGCGTCCAGAGCAGCCCCACTCTGACCCCGTATGTTGCGCCATATGAGGCCAGAGCGAAGGGACGCGGTGCTCCCGACTGCAGCCAGTGATGTGACGCTCAGAGCAGCTGAGCTTCTCCGATGTGCTTCATATAGGGAAACTTATACGTGCTGCAGATAGTGAGATGGTTACGAGCACGTAAATGCACGCAAATGAACAAACGATAGTTGTCGAGGAAAATATTATATATGAGTACTTGGATGATAATATGCACATGACTACACAATAGGTACATTTCAATTTTGTCAAAGGGATTCGTACTATGATATTTCGACGCCTCCTTTTATTCGCAAAAAATGCACCCAATTTCAATGTCCGGGTGTTGCATCTAGCGCCACTCGCCAGTCTTTCTGTGTATCGTGCGTTTTTATTCACCTAAGAACGTCCTGAGATGCATGTTTAAAGTGTCAGCGTCTTATAATCGATAGAAAGTGTGTTTTTACAGCGTGAGGAACAATATTTAAATGTAGGGTAGCGGATTTTGTGGCTATCTGTGATATATTGATAAATATTTCACCTTCTATGGAAGGTGAAATGTCGATACTCGATATGTAAATAGGAATGTAAAATGCGGAGATATTGTGACATATGTTTCGAGCATTCGTCATGGTACCAAAATATAAGTGACATGTACCTATAATAACTTTCTCGCCCGTCATACCCATATTGGCCTTCGGAAGATGAACATTACGCATAATAATTACGTTTATCGAAATTCCGACCATAAGTTGACGTTTAAACGGCAATCAGCAATCAGCGTTCTATCGGTCGTTTCCTGATGATTCTCTCTCTCTCTCTCTCTCTCTCTCTCTCTCTCTCTCTCTCTCTCTCTCTCTCTCTCTCTCTCTCTCTCTCTCTCTCTCTCTCTCTCTCTCTCTCTCTCTCTCTCTCTCTCTCTCTCTCTCTCTCTCTCTCTCTCTCTCTCTCTCTCTCTCTCTCTCTCTCTCTCTCTCTCTCTCTCTCTCTCTCTCTCTCTCTCTCTCTCTCTCTCTCTCTCTCTCTCTCTCTCTCTCTCTCTCTCTCTCTCTCTCTCTCTCTCTCTCTCTCTCTCTCTCTCTCTCTCTCTCTCTCTCTCTCTCTCTCTCTCTCTCTCTCTCTCTCTCTCTCTCTCTCTCTCTCTCTCTCTCTCTCTCTCTCTCTCTCTCTCTCTCTCTCTCTCTCTCTCTCTCTCTCTCTCTCTCTCTCTCTCTCTCTCTCTCTCTCTCTCTCTCTCTCTCTCTCTCTCTCTCTCTCTCTCTCTCTCTCTCTCTCTCTCTCTCTCTCTCTCTCTCTCTCTCTCTTAACAGTTTAAAGTGCGAAGCTACGATACAACGTAGGCATTGCATTTATTACGTACCTTTATGATGCATCTTTCTTTCTTTATGTCGTATTAGATTTTTGTTTGCGCTGAATATTATGCACGAAACTAGGAGATGCGTACATTTTACCAGAGTTTAGTGTAATCAGAAATACGTAATGTATAGTCGACTACAGAATGATGCTCCACTTTTCACAGGCAATTATTTGCCTCATAGGCGGCGGAACGGGGAGGGCACCGGGGCACCGTGCCCCCTTTGATTTCGGCATTTTAACATTAGCCCTATGGGCGTTGCATGGAAAGAATGGGATCAAAAGTCGGCAGTGCCCCCCCCCCCCCCACCTAATTGAAGGTGTTCCGCCGCTATCGATTTGCCTGGAGTGGTAGGCTGTGCCGCATCACACGGGCTGAGTTCACAAATTATAGCTTTGTCCCAATGCTCACAATCGACACGCTTAATTGCGTGATAAACGGCACAACTTAGCGCTCCGGTCAACTGATAGCTTCTGAGGAGTGGAACATCATTCTGTAGTCGACTATACCTAAACGGGCGAAGTAAAGGCATGGGTAATGCAGTAATCCTTAGCTTGACTGAATGAAGATAAATATTCCTAAAGCCGCAATAAAATAGCAAAATGAATTAGTGCGCACCTAGAGAAATTAGTACCTATGCCCTGCAATTATCCAATGCAGTGCAATATTCCACCAAAACTGATCCTTCACATATGTCGTTTACATATGACCAGTAGCGGCGGAACACCTTCAATTAAGGGGGGCACTGCCGACTTTTGGTCCCATTCTTTCCATGCAACGCCCATAGGGCTAATGTTAAAATGCCAAAATCAAAGGGAGGCACGGTGCCCCGGTGCCCTCCCCGTTCCGCCGCCTATGCATATCACAACCGTTTAACTGGGTTACATGGGCAAGTAAATACGGAGATCAGGAATGGATTTTCCTGTTCGCTCACCATTGTGCTCCGTTTGTAAAGCGCGTTTACTCTGCTCATGTAATCCCATTCATTGTTACGGCCTCTCCATCGAGTCTCACTGTCTGTGGCGGGACACCACCCTCAGGAAGCAGCAGTCCGGCCGGGGCGAGACGATGGTAGTGTTCGTATCGAGCGGCAGCGGCGGTGGGGTCGTGCCTGGGCGCGGCTCCAGTCGCCAGTCACGCAGTACCGCCGCCAGCGCCGCCTTGGCCTCCAGCAGGGCGAACCGCCGCGCCAGGCAGCCGCGCGGGCCGGCCCCGAACGGCCGGTAGGCGGCCGGGTGGCGCCGCTGCCTCTCCTCCAGGAGGAAAACGGTCCGGATCGAACCGGAGCGGCTCCGGATAGACGCGGAGGTCTCTGTGCACGGGCAGCAGCGGCAGCTGGACGATGGTGCCGGCGGGGATGGTGACGTTCGTCCCCGACAGGGTGTACGGCCGGGTGCAGATACGCTCCATGTGGAACAACGACGGGTACATCCGCAGCGTCTCGTCCAGCACCCGGTCCAGGTAGCACAGCTCGGAGACAGCCTCGTAACTCAGTCGGCCGTCGTGGCGCTCCAGCGCGGCGTCGAGCTCCCGCTGAGCCCGCCCCTGGCAGTCGGGAACAGTGGCCAGCGCGCAGGCGGCGAACGTCAGCAGGTTGGCCGTCGTGTCGTACCCGGCCAGGAAGAACAGCAGGCTCTGGGTCACTATGTCATCGGTGGAGAAGCACCGGCGACCGCTCTTGTCCCTGGTCTCGAGCAGCAGCTGCAGAAAGTCGCGCCTGGTCGCCTCAGTGGCCTCACGGTTTCGAATCGTCGCCTCGGTGACTTGACTGAAGAAACGCTTCACCTCGGCATAGGGATCCGGAAGGAGACCAGATATCCACTTCGGCAGGAAAAGTATGCAGAGAGCTCTAAATTTGCCGTATACGCCAGGCTTCTTGAAAAACGCCGAGGCCTGTCTAGTGAGTTCAGTATTCTGATTCTCGAAGGAGTTGGAATCAATGCCGAATGAGCATGATGCGATGTTGTCCATGGTATAGCGACCGAAGGCGTCCTTCATGTTGACAACACCTGCTGAAGTGGTGGTCATCTCCTCGCCAAGAAATCGACTGAGGTTGTCGGCAGTCCTAAGGAAGAGCGGGAACATCGTCTTCAGTTTCCCTGAGGAGAAGGTGGGCGATATTTCGGCCCTCTTCTCTCGCCACTCCCTACCCTGTAAGAACGGAAGCATCCTGGCGAACACGGGACTGAACGTGCGGTTTCTCTTGTCAACGAAGTAGTCGAAGTCCTTCACGGTGATGTCCGAGATCATATCCAGATCGCCGACATATAGCACAGGCTTGTGTAGCTCCATGTAGCCGCAGAATTTAGCATCACCTAACTTCTCGTAGATCCAATTCTCGAAGTCGAAGTAAGTGGCTCCTCCAATCCCCGGCACACCGAATTCGTTACCCCACGGGAGAACAGCACGAGGTCCCGGCACTCCCCGCGATGGCCAGAAGTCAAAGTCCCTGGTCATGAACCACAGCACACATCCGAAGGTCACTGTCAGAGCGCTGATAGTCAGGGGACTGAGAATCCATCCCAGCACGGTACTCAGTACGACGCACAGAGAGCAGAACATCTTCACAGCGCAACGTCTCAACCGTCTGGCTCAGTCATCGCACTGAGCCGGCTTATCTGAACTGCGTCCCATGCAACCGGTCACTACGGACATCGGTAACCGACTCAAAATAAACGGGCACTGCAGAGTGCCGATAGATAAAGAATCATAGTTTGACTTTGGTCACCCGGCTGCGGCAACAATGTAGCGTCACAAGACTTCTGCTCAAGTATTGGCACTTGGCAGATATCCTTTCCTCTCGAAAGTGTATTGGCATTGAGTGCAATCTATTACCGTTGCCAAGATGTTGATAAATGTATCGAGCCCAGTAGCATTTCTAACCAAGACTTGTCCGAAAAAAAGAAAAATTAAGAAATAATACCGGATAATTCTTAACCTTCCAGGCGGTGGGGGAGGCATTTTTTTGCCCCCCCCCCCCTTAGTTTTTTCAATATAGGTATCTCGAGAACCGCTGCGCCGATCGTCACCAAACTTTCAGTACCCTCCTGGGAGCAGCTAGCGCATATGGTGACCAAAATTTTTTTCCAAAGGCTATGATAGGTTGGCCGCTAAATGACGTCAGAGTGACGTCATTTTTGCCATTTTCGACCCAAAAAAAGGTTTCGCGGGAAGAGCTGTCAGGCCTACAGCTTTAGAGATAGGGGAGAGCGGGGTGAGTTGTATCATGTCCAAGTTGTATCAGGGCGAATTGTGCCAAACTTATCCAATAGATAGCGCTCGTGACACGACCAGTCGACGAGGTTTTCCGGGCGCCATCTTTCCCTGTTCTGTCGTGTGGCTGGGTGGACGCGTCTCGAGGTGAGAGCCGATTTTATGTTTTTTTAATGTCATTCTAAAAAAATAAGTTGCAGGAAAATGTGTGTTTTGGGCATTTAGATGTGCACGAATTTGAAAGATCTCCGTAGCGGTGGTGAGGGTAGGTTCTAAGGCTGCGTGAGTGAAAATGGATTTCTCCAGCTGTCCGCTGTTTTTGAGCACGAGGATGTTTTTTCCAAGATGGCGGCGAGGTACATGTTGTATCAGAGCCGGGCGGGGTATGTTGTAACATGTATGTATGTATGTATGTATGGGTATGTTGCTTTTGATCGCGAAAGCTAAGCCCTGGCTCGCGTTTGTAGGTAGCTAGTCAATACTCGTTCCATTTCGGCACAATGTGTTGGCTGCTTTGCTCTTAACGGGTCACTTTTGCGTCTAGTCTGTTGAAGTTTCGTTCGTTTCGACGTTTCGTTCGGATTGACCTAAGTTTGGTCTAATAAAGTGAAGCCTTTGAGCATATACATTGTATTAACCCCATTTCATGTTGTTGTTATGTTCAAAACCAGTAGCAAACACACTCCCTGAAACGTGAAATAGTGATACAAATTATCCCACCATGTGATACAACTCACCCAAGCCATGGGGCAAGTTGTATCAAAAACATTGTTCTATTCGGCAGACCGTAGAAGAAAAACTAGTAGAGGTAGCGGAAAAGTTACTTTGCACAAAAAAGCAGAAGAATGAAGGAAGGAGATAGTATGGAAATAATGAGTTTATCACGGATAGTTACGAGGTTATGGGTCTCGGAGTAAAAACTGATACAACCCACCCCACTCTCCCCTACAGAAAAATGTTTCAGACATAAAAGGTGTGGAATCAAAAGACCTACAAAACTGCTATTTCAGTTTTTCGATTTTTTTTGGATTTTGACCCCCAAAAATAAAAAAAATATTTTTTGAATATAATAGCCAAAAAATCCAAAAAGTTTTTTGAAT